TGCAAATATGTACCTCGATCTTAACTCCCTGTCAATCATTGTTATTAGCTCTGTCCTTTGCACCAGGTAGTCTGCATATAGAAAGCATACACAGAAGAGGAGAAATTAAACAATGCATCTGTTTCTCCTCTGCATTTGCAATGTTTGTCCTGGCTTTGCCTTGTCTGAATTGGATTATGACATGATTTGCTAAATCTTTAATCTAAATAAAAAAAAATAAAAAAAAGTTAACACAAATTATAGGTGATTTCAATGTTTTGTAAATTCCTGAGAAGTGACAGTTCCCCTTTAATTCCTTGGGGTTCACGAGCACTCATTTTGTGTAAATCCTTTAAGAAATCTGGTCATGGCACATGGCGAATTTTAAGTGGCATCTTGATGATTAATTTTATTACTGGTAGTCATGACTTTTTTAAAAGTGTAAGCTAAAAGCATTGTATTAATAGTCAGTGTGTTTGGCGCTGCTAAGTCCACAAATATGTATTCTCGTAAAACATCCATCCTTGTGATAGAAAAATAAATCTGCTCAAACTGCCATTAAAATGACTGAGCTAAGTTGCTAACTTAATGTTTATGTAATGCATCACTCTGTTTGGTTCCACCAAGGGTTGATTTGGGAATCCTACATTTAACATCTTGAACTTTGATGTAGAAAACAGAGACATTATTCAGATGCTTAAATAAATGGAAAAAAAATCCCTTCCTGTTGACTCTCAACCATAAAAGAAATTTTACACGTATTTTCCACGTTATGATTGCAAAATAGAAACTGCCAGATGCTTTGAAAGTATTTTTAAAATTTGCTCACTTTTCAAGTTCAGATCAGTAAGCAGAAACGTATGGTTGTCTGAATAGAAATATTTGCCAACAATAAGGGAGTAGCATATGAAATTAGAGAGGATTTATTTCACAAATGAACTGTAACTAGTAATATGGATGCCATTTTAAATTACTTTCTGCTCATATATATTAATCATCTTTTGAACTCTGGGCTCCCTCTAATTTTCTCCAGTTAAGTCTCGTGGGTTCTATCCTCTAAACAGTGAATTGCAAGAAGTAGACAACCATATCGTAACAATTTAGATAATATTGTGTTATTCATTTAAGAACGTTAACCATTTAATGATGCTGCATGTATGTGCGTTTCCATTTACACACACACAAACACAATTAAAGGGACACCCCACTGTCATAATACAAAAAAATATATATAAAAAATATTTTTTCATTGGGGATATATCTTAAGGAATATTGCAAAAGCTACCGTTCTCTTGCCTCCTGCCTTTGAAAGCCCTTCTAACCCAGTGCACACAGATTATACTTTCTATGGCTGTCCAATCAGACTTCCCAATGTAGCTCAATGAGAAGTCTTTGCAAGGCCAATGCTCTGGGCAATTGACTGCCTCTTGAGTTTAGTTTCACTAAGCTAAACAACCAAGAAGTAACAAGATTGACAGCCAGTGGGGTTTAACACGGTAAGTTTACAAATGTGTCCATTTCTATTGAAATCTGCACTTTCTATAAAATGAAAAAAGAGCACACAGTCATTACACATAAACCATTTCAGCATGTTAAAGTGCTATAGGGGACCAGAGCATCCATTTAAGTCTGCAAACAAATACAAATACTCAATAGAACTGTACCCACTGTATGTAAAATATAAGTACAGGTAGGGTTGCCATATTTATCATCATTTTCTGGACACACATAATTTCATCATGTTGATTGGCAGTACATGATGTTACTGCCCTGTATTATGAATATTATATATGCAGAATTCCTGGCTGATTTATCACATGATTTACTTCCTGCAGCATTTGACTTTTACATACTGCAGGGCAGCACTTGCTGTATGTTGCCCATCAATTTGTATAAATCATATGTGTCCTGGGAAAAAATGGTGGATATAGTATCCCTAAGTATCGGTCAGCTTGTTGCTTGTCATGTGATCCAATAGCTCAGGATTCTGAGATAGAACACTGAAAGCAGGGTGGAAATATTGCTGGATTCTGTTCTCTATTCTGGGGAATATCTGATTTTATTACCCTATTTGTTTGCAAGCATTTAATCAGTGTTTCATCGTAGGATACACAGTGCACAGCAGCTACAGTGTCAATTATTATTCATAACTATTATATATGAGTAGTAGGCTACAACAACAAAATCTATGACTAAAATATTAGATTCATGGAAAATTATTAATTTGTGCAATGTTTTTACCGTTCACTGATTTTAAAAGATCACTCTAGGGTCCATAACAAATTTGCCTCATTGCAAGTGCAGGGTGAATTCTCCATCCACTCTTACTGGTGAGAGTGATTTTTAAGTGAAGCACATTAAGTCATCGTTGGGGCTGTCTATATTAATTTAGTCCAACTTGTGTGTGACAGCCAATTTCTGTACACAGTTATTTTCAGAAAAGTGTGTATAAACAATCATAGTATGGTTGCTCTTGGTTTATAAAGCCATTCGATTCATCAAGTTCGATTCATCCACAATCAAAGTTTATTCCAGTTTGGCTACTTTAAAGGACCGCTATAGGCACCCAGACCATTTCAGCTTAATGAGGTGGTCTAGGTGCCTGGTCCATCTAGGGTTAACCCTTTTTTCTATAAAAATAGCAGTTTCAGAGAAACTGCTATGTTTATGTTAGGGTTAATCCAGCCACTAGTGGCTGTCTCATTGACAGCCGCTAGAGGGCTTCCGCGTTTCTCACTGTGAAAATCACAGTGAGAATACGCTAGCGTCCATAGGAAAGCATTGTGAATGCTTTCCTATGGACTGGCTGAATGCGCACGCGGCTCCTGCCGCGCATGCGCATTCAGCCCAGGAGGCGGAGAGGAGGAGGAGAGCTCCCCGCCCCGGCACTGGAGAAAGAGGTAAGTTTAACCCCTTCCTCTCCATCCAGCCCAGCGGGAGGAGGACCCTGAGGGTGGGGGCACCTTCAGGGCACTATAGTGCCAGGAAATCGAGTATGTTTTCATGGCACTATAGTGGTCCTTTAACCTAAAAAAAAAAATTCACTTTGAATTACCAACAATTCCCATTTTTGCAAATAAACGCTGATTGTGGAATACAATACTTTTCCTATAAATACATGTGAAGCCAAACAAGGCCAGGATGCCTCTAAACAACCCTTTTAAAAGAGGTAGGCAACCATAGGCGTGCGCAGCTTATTGCATTAGGGTATGCACCCTAAAGCATAAACACACAGGCCACATAGTGGTGGCTTTACATTTTTTTAAATAGCATAGCAGCAGTGTCTGGAGGAAGTGACGTCATCGCGTATGACCTCACTTTCTCGCAGCGGAGTCCCAAACCTTAGCATATCCTCTGTGGCAACCCTCAGGCAAGGGGGAGTGGCGTCACTAGAGGAGGATCCGGTTCTAGTGGGAAACTGGCTTTGATGTGGGATTTAAGGTAAGTTTATTTTTTTTATATTTTTTTTCAGGGGGAGAAACATGTCAGTAAGGCTTACTACAATCAAAAACAGTGTTTTGAGTGTCTTTACGGTAGAGAGGTCTGCCTGCTTCAGACACTTGCTGTGTCTATAAAAGAGCTTTCAACCCTTTAAAAGGTAATCTTTATTTTACGGTTTTTTTTTTTTATTTGAGGCACAATAGATATATTACAGAAATGAGATACATGAGTCATAGCAAGTGTGTACTTGACAGTAGTATAGTAGATATGCATAAAGAGCTAAACTCTGAAATATACTGCCTCTTTTTTTTTTTTTCAAGCAAGATTCAAACATGTGAAGCAACACACAACTAAGCATAAAACAATTTATACTGTCTCAAGCTAATCTAGAGGTGTGGAGAGTAGGTGCAAGAAATGCTGTAGTGATAGGTAGAGATAGAAATGCGCTGCCTTATGAGAAATCAACTTTAACAGAAATGGAAATCTGGAGACAGTGTAGATCAGTGGAGGAAAGCATCATTAATGACTGTCCACAACGGGTGGAGCGCAGTGGTGTATCCTGGTTTTGTGCTGCCCTAGGCAGGACAAAACTCAGTAGCCCCCCCCGGCGCCACCCCCACCCAAGCCTTCCCCACCGACCCGCCTTTTAAATACACACACACTCACTGACAGATACGCATACACTAGCTAACAGACAGACACACACACACATTAACAGACACACACACACTAACAGACACACACTCACTAACAGACACACACTCACTCACTAACAGACACACACACACTCACTAACAGACACACACACTCACACACACTAACAGGCAAACACACTCACACTCACTAACAGACAAACACACTCACACTCACTAACAGACACACACACACACACTCTAACAGACAGACACACACTAACAGACATACACACACACACACAGACACACACACTCCCTAACACACACACTAACAAACACACACACACTCCCTAACACACACACTAACAGACACACACACTCCCTAACACACACACTAACAGACACACACACTAACAGACACACACACACTCCCTAACACACACACTAACAGACACACACTAACAGACACACACACACTAACAGACACACACACAGACACACACTAACAGACATACACACAGAGACACACACTAACAGATATACACACTCACTCACATTAACACACTCACTTTTTTTTAAATTTAACCCCTCCCTCTCCCTGGGGCTGCCGGTCGGTCAGTTGGGCGGGCGGGCGGCGCTGGCGAGGGAGCACTTTCCCCTGAGCTCTCTGCTCAGCTCCCTCGCGCACCGTCATATATGACGTCATATTCCGGCTCCAGGCATCAATCTGTGGGCGGCGCGCGAAGGAGCTGAGCAGAGAGCTCAGGGGAAAGTGCTCCCTTGCCCGCTCCGCCCGCACGGATTTTTACTTAGCTTTTTTTTGCCGCCCCCTGGAAAATGCCGCCCAAGGCAAATGCCTTGTTTGCCTCACGGCTAAAACGCCCCTGGTGGAGAGCTGTAGCCCCTGAGGCAACAAAGCAAAGAATAACATGCAGCCATCTCCTCTCATATAGTGGGCACTGCCCCTGTAGTAACAATGGCACAAGTCCCGCACAACTGCACCCCACCAGCCCCAGGTTTCAGTAGAGTCCACAGCACCAATCCCACGAGTCCCGCTGCAAGGAGTGTCCAGGAATTCTTTTCTCTAGGTCCTTTGCCAAGGTGTTTTCCCATGCGAACAGTAGTAACCTTCTGAGGGTGTGGGTTACACTTAGGGAGCCGTCCCCTATTAAACTGTGGCCTGGGAAGTTGGGGTCCATAGCAGGACCAGGCCTCTGTTTCCGCTGTGTCTGTTGGGGCACCAGCCTCTTCGCAAGCCATTTTCAGTGTTGCATCAGCACTGTGCCCAGCGGGCAGCTGCTTGGTGTCAGTGTAGACGAGATCAGGTTGAACTGCTATTTGTACCCACAGTCTCTCAAAGGCGTGGGATATCCGTTCTTCCATTGTGGCCCATAGATTGGATGCAGGAATGGCAGCAGGCTTCCCAGCAGCAACCATCTTGTCATGCTGTTTGCAAGTAGACAGCTCCATAGTTTCTGCCGGCTCCATGACATGTGAGTATGTCGACATCTCTGTGGGGACCTGGATAACCGCCACCGATCCAAGGGGGGGGTTAGGAGCCTGACAGGTCCACTCCGTAGCTTATGGAGTGAGAAGAGCGGCCGCCTCTCCCAGGCTCCAGAGCCCTTAGGCTGCATGTTGTAATGCCAGCTCCCAGTAACCAGTAGCATTGTGTAAGTTATCCCCCGAGTCATCGGCTCCCTCCCCAATTGCATGGGATGCATTTTAGGTTAATTTCAAGTTTAAGGTCTAAGGTTAGCTCCATTTTTGTGGCTGATACCATAGGAGCTCTCTCGGCACACGTCCGTTCAGCCCCTGAACAATTTTTTTATGCATTATAAAAAGAATTAAGAAATGGGGTACAATTTTTGAGCATTCATTGTGTTTTTTTAACTTATAAGATACTAGAACTCTATGCCCCAAACTCCCCGACTGATAAACATAGTGGTAGCGATGGTATGTGGGTTCATCTAATAGAAAAATATTTATTTATTTTTGTTCAGTTTCTCATTTATGACTTGTGATAGGATAAATTTGTTCTCAGGCCTGGCAAATATTCGTAGCTTCTCCAAATAACATTGTATTCAATATAGAGTTAGTGATAAAGAGTTATGATATAGAGTTAGTTAGTTAATTAACTAATAAAATAAATACTGCAAATAATCCATTTTGTTCCATAATTGAGGTAAACTCATGGAAGCATTAGTTTATGTAACTGATTTTTCTCAAGGGACATCTCGACACCTCCTTGTGTTCTGGCTCTTGTCTTGGGAATAGACAATAGTGATACACAATATTCCATATCTGTCAGTCATATAAGTAATGTCAGCTGAGTGGACTGCTATTGATATTGGTTTAATCCCCAGAGTTTACAATTAGGGTGGCTTACTGCATAACTTTACTGAAAGGACCACTTCACACTCCAAAAGCACTTCAGTCTGCTAAATTGCTTTATGGGTGAGGAGTATTCTACTTTAAGTTTACAAAAGTGCAGATTTCTATGAAAATTTGGTACTTTTATCGATTAACTATGGAACATAATTAGACTGCCAGGGAGCGTTGCAGCCTTCTTCCATTAGCTTCCCTGAACTAACGAAAATGAAAAGCCTCCTCCCACACAGATGTTAGACAAGCTCCTCCAGACCTCAGATAAAATGAGTACACATATTCAGAGGCTTTTCAATGAGAAGCCTCAGTTTGGTTATTTTCCCATGAAGAGACTGAAAGTATTTTCTGGGGAAAAGTGTGGCTTGCTAAGCCTGCAGTTGTTAAGAATTCCGATTATTTACTACTATCAGTGACTGTCTTATGTACATATATTTGATAATGAAGACTTTATCTGGAGTGGTGGGTGTTGCAAACAATTGTTTTTTGTGCAAAACCTATATATATTTGATAGACAAAAGGATAAAAAAGGATCGACAAAGGAAAGTTCAAATATAGGTCCAAGTGTGAATCCAAATGATTGCTGGAAGATAAAACTTCAAAGAGTCAGGGTAGTTCCTCTGGAATGGGGTCAGATCAGAGTATTCTTGGCAGCCATATATGCAACAGAAAGAGAGAACTAATGGTGCAGGAAATCCCAGAGTAGCATAAAAGTAAATAAAATGTCCTACTTACAATTGATAGAGCTTAACCTAGCTCTAGTCTGAATGGCGTACAGTGGTAAAATCCCCACTTATAGGACACGTGAGACGGTTTAGGTATGCAGATGTATCATCGGTATGAAGATCATAAAGGTTATAAAAGAGACAGCAATAGTGCTCAAAGTATAAAAGGTACCAGGAGTATAGAATAATGAATAGGTACTCACATTGTATTGGGCAGACTAACTGCTCAATGTGTAGGCGTAAGTGGCATAATCCCCACCGTGGATTCTTTTCGAGTAGTCCTCACTGGAACTTAAATTCGGATGCCACGTAGAAAATAATAAAAAAGTAAAATGTCTTACTCACAGTGGAAAGAGGCCAAAATACCTTTATTAAAATACAATGTAAAAGAAACAGTTAAAATATCCACAACGCGTTTCACCAAAGTGGCTTTCTCATGTGGAGGTAGAAAAATCATACCTGGCAGGCATAGGTTTATCTAGGGAGTGTGGGTGTGGTTTATTTAAATTTTGCGCCTAAATGACATCATACTTGATTTTATTAATTTTTTTTTTATTTTTTTTTAAAGATGAAAGTAGACCAATGCAAGGACTAGTGTATAAAATATGGAGCAAAACTGAGCTTCTAAAGGGAAGAAAATTACAAAAACAGCGGCCACGGCCATTTTGGATCATTTCAGGCCTGTCACGTGACCACGTGCAAAGAGATGGGAAATGTAGTGTGGCCAGGTCTGGTTGTACCCACAGACTACATGAAAAGGGAAGCTCCTCCTAAAAGGGGCAGTGAACTAATGATGAATATCCTTCTATGAGAAAATGGAGGATATGGCGCATTTAGACTCCACATGGTGGCGGCCATGTTTTTGAAGTCTTTACTAAGGAAACCCTATGTAGGGTAACTTAGGTAGGGAACTAACGGGGAAAGCATAATTTTAATAAAACATTTTTTTAAAAGGGCTATATTGGCAAATAAATGCATGTCAATAATAAAAACAATAGTACATTGTATAAATAATACATAATATAAACAGGTAATATATATCTTAATATATATAAATAATTAAGAAAAAATTATCACATAAAGAATAAAAAGAGATAGGTAAAATACATTATTGAAGTTAGGAGAGGATATACATACATAAAAAATTATAAAGCTTGTTCTTCAAAGTCTGTAATACGGGAGCAGTTTCTACGTAAACGTAAGAATAGGCTTTAAGGAATTCCTTCAAGTCATGGTTTGTGATGAGAACATGGCTGGTATTGTATGATACCATACAATTATTCCTTACAATAAGGGTTGTGAAGCAGTTATTAACATTTTAACCCAGCAGAACAGATCAATTTTATTATAGAAGGTATTAATATCATTTTAACCCCTTAAGGACACATGACATGCCTGACATGTCATGATCCCCTTTTATTCCAGAAGTTTGGTCCTTAAGGGGTTAAATAACAATTATTTTTAGATTATTTTATATTCAAAAACAAGGTACAGCTATGGGGACCAGGTTTGCCCTGAGCTATGCTAACCTCTTCATGACCAATTGGGGATTTATGGCCACCTGGGGCCAGCATGTTTGGAGGACAAACTTGGTCTCCTATTTTAGATATATAGACAATCTGTTTTTTATTTGTAAAGGCCAGGTAGATTCTCTTAAACGTTTTAAAAATCATTTAAATAACAACAGCCATGGTATCATTTTAACTTTATAACACAGTCGAGAATGTATTAATTTTTAAATCTACATATTTTTATCCACAACGGCACAATCAACACTAAAACTTTTTTCAAAAAAGTATGCACTCAGTAACTGACCAAGCTAGTTGTCATCACAAACCATGGCTTGAAGGAATTCCTAAAAGCCAATTCTTATGTTTACGTAGAAACTGCTCCCGTATTACAGAGTTTGAAGAACAAGCCTTAGAATTAAAAAAACAAATTCACCAACAAAAATTACTCTTTGGATAACCTCAACAATACTCTAGAGACCGTCACAAAAAAAAAAGACAGGACAGACCTTTTAGAATACAAAAATAGAGACAAAAAAGATTCTCATTTTATAGCGGTTATATTTAATTTTAATAATAAAAGTAACCTGGTCAAAAAAATTATTAAAAAACACTGGCACATATTAAAGCAGGACCAAATTTGAAAACATGTTATTCCAGATAGACCATCACTTTACATTGAACAATACTAAAAAATCCTATCCTAGCAAAGATCTTATATGCTGCAACACTAAAAATGTCATATACCTATTGGAGTGCCCATGTGGCCTCCAATATGTAGGAATGACCTCTAGGTGCATAAAAACAAGATTGGCTGAGCACTGCCGAAATATTACTAAGGGTAATCCCAACCATTCCGTATCACTTTTTAAAACATAACAAAAACCCTAAACTTTTAAAATGTATAGGTATACAAAAATGTAAAATCCTTTGGAGAGGTTGTGATTTTAAGAAAATTCTAGTCAAAAAAGAGATAGAGTATTGGGTTTTCCCTTTAAAAACTTTTATGCCAGATGGTCTTAATGTTGATTTTGATCTTTTTAATTTCTTATAACTGCCTTTTTTATAATGTATGTATATCCTCTCCCAACTTCAATAATGTGTTTCACCTATCTCTGTTAATTCTCTATGTGATAAGTTTGTATTAATTATTTATATGTATTAAGATATATATTACCTGTTTATATTACGTATTTCCCTCTTATTTTATGATTTATACTATTGTTTTTATTATTCACAAGCATTTATTTGACTATATAGCCTTTTTTTTTTTTTTTTTACAAATTTATATTAAAACTGTTGAAAAAGGCAGCCAGTAGGTGCCAAAACATTGGGGGTATTGGGGCTCATGTTTCTGCCAGAATAGGCTTGTGAGAATTGTGGTAATTATTATTGTTTGTTTTGTTATGCCTATATATTGTCACTTTATATTTTGCTTTATGCTTATTGTACCTATTATTAGTCTATTATTTGCATAACTCTTTGTAGTGATTCTAGTGTGCATTCTCTATTTTGTAACATCTGCCTACCTACACCGTCTCCCGTATCCTATAAGTGGGGATTGTACCACTGTACGCCATTCAGACTAGGGCTCGGTTAAGCTCTATCAATTGTAAGTAGGACCATAGACGTTTTATTTACTTTTATGTTACTCTGGGATTTTCTGCACCATTAGTTTTCTCTTTCTGTTGCATATATGGCTGCCAAGAATACTCTGATCTGACCCCATTCCAGAAGAACTACCCTGACTCTTTGAAGTTTTATCTTCCAGCAGGTTTACCATTTGGATTCACATTTGGACTTAAATAAATTATATACAGTTTAAACTTGTTCTAACTGTATTTTGATATTA